TTCTAGCAACTGCCTGTTAGATTTTAGTCCTACATACAATATTTAGTAAATGTGTGTAGCCAATTATCAAGAATACCTACTGTTTATTGATTTACTTTAACAAAGAAAGCAAGACTTTTTAGTGAAAGCTAGAATTGAGCTGAGCTAAAATGTCTTACTCAAAGCAGTAAGGTACCCTAAAGCAAGGTTCTATATATATATATATATATATATATATATATATGCATATTTAATAAATGTTTATTATATGTAAAAGCTGATTTAACCTTTGACCATTAAATTTTCCTGTTTCCTACCAGATTGGTGCTTTTTACAAGAACAGAAACAAGATGTTCTTGGTGTTTCAGGAAGGAAGACAAAAGCTCAGACCATGTGTCAATATAGAAATCTATTCATGCATTGCAGTTCAGCTCAGGTCAGTGGTGTTCACTTTTGACCTCCACAGGCAGGAGACAGTGCCAACAAAGCTACCAGGACACCGCAGTTCAGACGAGGGTTTGGGAAAACAAACACATCTCTGCCCAAGCTGGAGTCAACTGTCTTGGCGAGTTAAAAAAAAAAAAAAGAAAAAAAAAAGAAAGAAAAAAGTATGTGTATTTATTGCTAAAAGCTTCAGGTGGGTGGTGGTGCATGGTGAGAGCTGGCTGTGTTTTTTAGATCACAAGACCGTTGTTCTGTTTCTGTGCTATCTTATGCTTTCATTGTGAATGAAATGTTCTAATATGAGAGTGTGTGAAACTATACTTTCCTCCAATAAGTGATTGCTCAGAAGATTACTCAGCCGGTTGACAACATCCCTGGGGCACTGCAGAATCAGGTTCACTTGTGTTGTTATGTCACCTTTATAATTAACGGGATCATCATGTTCCCTTCAATAGCTGCCTGGCCGTCTGCCAGCAGTATGGTCAGACAGTGTCCTCACCCCCTCTGATTGTGGGATTCACCCACCAGAAACCTGCAATAAGGTTTTAACTGTCTGAGCACCTGAGTTCAAAGAACAAGGAACAGACCGACCCTCTCACATGAACAAATCTGGTTAATCTATTGTCAGAGACCACACTCTCACCAAGAATTTGTGCCATATATTAAGGTTTTTAATCGTTTTAATTCAAAAATATGATGAACATAAATACACGCAGCAGCGATAAAATAGCCTCTATTGCAAACATTGTATATGGATGTAATAACATACAGTGCCAGCACCCTCAGACCACAAAAAGCACAAAAGCGAAGCCATAAAATCTTTTATGAGTTTTATGGGAACTTCAGCTGCTCTTGCACACACCCCCAGAGTATACGTTTTGGTTCAGTGAAAGTGTGACTTCATCAAAGAGATTCTGAACATGAATTTTCATTTATAAACATCTCAACTCTGTACGCCAACAACATTAATGAAATGCTTTATGTTTAAACATAGTGCAACACATAAATAGGCACATAAATCACACAAATTCTTTTGCTAGTACATCTTATTACATAATGACAGGACTTACTGAAACAACAAAACAAAACAAAACAAAACAAGATTTTATCAACATGCAAGCAGGTGATTCTGGTGTTGTCTTCAATAGGGGAATGTCCTCTCACTGACTGTCCAAAATCTGTATCTAAATTAGGACTCACTGATTATTTATTTGATTCACAAACACCATAAGAGTCATAATCATATCTCAACATGTCCTTTAACTACAATAAAACCAACTGATTGCGACAAGTTTGATTTACCTACTGTACATACATCAACTTTGAATATTTATGCACATAAGCCAATCACAATCAACCATGTTGTTCTTAGTCTCTGAGACTTTCCTTCACTGCGTGCAAAAGCAATCAAAACAAATCTTATGCAGGTTCTTCCAAACAGAGACAATGGCTCACACGACTCAAAACGACTCAAAGTGACTCTTCCATTGCACACTCTTTCAACTGTTTCTCTGTCTCTCTTTAGTTTGTGTTAACTACGCTGGCATGCACTGATGACCCTCTTGTAGATCAGACAGTCACGTGGTGAGGTCTTTTGTTGCAATTAAAAGCCAATAAAGCAAAATCAACCCACAGGGCACAGTAGGTGGACACAGTGGATTTGAACAACGCACAAGTCCAAACCTTTTGAGAATATTATGTATCTTATATATATATATATATATATATATATATATGTATCTTATGGTGAGAGGATGGTGTGATATTGTTGAATATTACTCGGTGAACCGAAGAGAGATTTTCTAACAAACTGTCATCACATTACTGATTTACTTTAGGACAACAAAATAGGTGAAGTCTTTTTAGTAAAATGTGACTGAATGCAGGTTAAAGGTAAACTTATTTGACTGGTAGCATGGGAATTTGTTAAGTCTATTGATGTATTTGAGATTGCTGTTCTTGAGTATTTCATTACATTTCAGATGAAATGATTTTACAACACTGGATATTTACTTGTTTTGCCAGACGTCTACTTAATACTTGTTGGATCACATAGGAAACCTAATATAAGCTACAAGAAGCTACAAAGCAACTAAACATTTTCACTCAAATGACAGTTCTGACACTCACACTTGGTTTTTACATTTTTTTACTGCAAGATAGCTGAACCATTCTCTTGATGCAATACTACTTTACAACATAACAGTAGATAATTATACATAGCAACACCTGGACAGCTTTATTGCTTTGAGCTGTCATTTAACACCTTGACAGAGACTAACACTAAGTACTTTTACTTTCAATAATCCGTCTTCTAATAGTTTAATACTTGTTTTCTATTGCTCACATTGGAAATCTAATTCAATTCACATTAGAAAACAGCTTTAAGAAACATGCATTTATTGTATGTCTTATAGGAAAAATAGCTAAATTATTTTGTTTGCAGTTTAATATTTAACTTACAAAACAGGATTTCATAAAATTTCATGCATTTTTACTTCCCATCATTAGATGAAGTACTTACAGCATCTTAAGTAGTCATTCAACACTGACTTTTAATACTTTGTACTTCAGTATTATGTTTAATACATTCAACACTTATTTTATAATACTGGTCATATGGGAAACATAATTGGTAAACCATTATGGATTATATAGAAATCAAAGGAAGTAACTAAAAACATACTCAACAGTTTTGACATATTGGTACTTAACTTTTTTTTTTATTTTTATTTTTTTAACTTTACTACATTTCAGAGAGAATTAAGTGTATTACTATAATTTTACATTGGACACTTAACAGGGACTGTGCTTCACAACAAGTACTTTTACTTTCAGTATATGCTTTGATGCTGATGTAGGAAACTTAAATAGGCTCCAGCAACAGGTTAGATAGAAACATATATACTCAAGTACTGTACTTAAGCAGCCACATAGTTTTGACATATTGTATCACTGTATATTTTACTTTAAAATAGCTGCACTGTTTTCTCTGAAGATTCATATTTGATTTGCAAATTAGGGTTAGGCTTATAAAATATAATGCATTATACTACTTCCTAACATTACAGATACAACATAACACTACCCAGACAAGGTCTATTACTTTAAGTTGTCATTCAGGCCATCACTTTGACAGGGACTATGCCTTACAGTGAGTACTTTTACTTTAAATTTTACTTGGACATTAAGTTACTGTATAGCATTAATTTGGCTACAGTTGCCAGGTTGTAGGTAGGATATAACTAAATATAATGCATTATATATATATATGTATGTATATATATATATATATATATATATATATACTGTGAGCCTGGCCAGCAAAACCTTTTATTACCTATCAACCTATATTAAGGTTTGACTTGCAAAACAAGAGCTCATAAAATGTGATGCATCAAATTTCCCAACATTACACGAAAGAATGACCTGAACCAGGTTCTGTGAACCAGGGACCAAGTTTATAAGTTTAGTTATCATTTGACAGGGACTGCCCTTCACTGTACATTCTTCAATGTTTGCTTATACTTTATTAATGGTGAAAGGGAAAGTTTAATTAGGCTACAGTAACAGATTGGGTAGGAGGTAACATGCTCAAGTTACTGTAAAGCAGCTGCACAACTTTGCAGATTAATATTTGACTTGCAAAACTAGAGCTCATAAAACACACTGTAATGCATAACACTTACCAAAATTAAAAGAAATAATTAAACAGCATCAAAAGATTTTACAAGAACCATCCTTTTTAGTGGGTAGCTACCTTTACTTTAAATCCCTGAATGTTACCTATTTTACTGCTAACTTTGTTTACATTGAATTTGGTCAAAACCTATGACTTATACTTGTGGTATTTTTTAATTATAGTGCTGCTACTCTCACAAATCCTTAAAGAGTTGAATAACTGGTCCACCACTGTAAACACCACAGTAATGTAAACATGGTTGTTTGGGAAAAGTAACAATCACAACAAAGAAAAACTATCACCACTGCTGTAGGCTGAGAATATATTTTTTTTTAAAGAATAAAAAGTAAACAATTATGCACATTTGTCGAAATCCCTACCTTCTAACAAGTTATAGAAACGTTACAGCAATTGTACTTTAACCAGAAAAATGTCCGGTAAACATAAATAAAAAAGGCGGGGTTTTTACCGTCTCTTACAGAAACAGTAATCCGTCTCACCGCGCGTCTTATCGGGCATGGAAGTGAGCTTTTATTTCGGTGCTCACAAGTCCCGTATGTGCGGGAGGCAGTCGGGCTGGGGCTCGGCTATTACACAGCAGTGTTGATGATATGTGTTGTCAGCTGAGCGGAGAGGACAGCCTGCTGCGGTACAGGCTGTTCCCGGCCTGGCTCGGCACGGAACGGGTTACAGGTCAGGGTGTCTATTGGAACACAGTGTTCTCATCAGCAGCGGCAGCGGTACAGCTACAGTACAGCCGGAACATTGTGTTACTTTGTGGCTGCTTTCCAAGACCTGCCCTTAATTTTACACTAAACGCCCTCCCACAACTCTACTCTACTCTATTCTACTCTCTCTCTCTCTCTCTCTTTTTTTTTCACCCTCTCTGTGTCTCTCTGCCTCTCTCCGTGAACAGTGTCATTTTGAAGTCTGAGCTCCATGCGGCTACTACACCGGCACGTTTAGAGAGAGCGAAAGGGAGAGAGGTGGGGGGCAAAAAAAAAAAAAAGAGAGAGGAAAAACAGCGCTAGGTTACATACACACTCAGCACATGGGCAGAACATTTAGTACCCTGGACATGAGATGAGAGGGGCGGGCTTGAATTAGGTGGAATAGACGCGGTTAAGAAATCGACCGAGTGGAAAGCGGGTTTCAGCGGGTCGCCGGCTGTTTTTTGGGGGAACAAATAGAGAAAAGGAGCGAGCATACGGAAATGTGAGTTTTTTCATTTTCTCTCTCTGTTCTGCTGCTGTTGAGACTTAATTAAGGAGTTCATTAAGACATGAAGCTTAGCCCACCGGCTTTCTAGTGCTTTCTGTTCACGCCTGGCTGAGTTAAAGGGACACATGTTATACATCATGAAGATTTACCTTTATAAGCTATCTGGTATTAATTAAATAAATATTTTTTAAAAAAATCGAGTCTGATACAACAGTTGGGGATTAAAACAAAAGATGCCCAGGTGAAGTTGTCTGTTGTTGAGATAGTATATGTTAATTTTTCCATATGTCTGGTGGTATTTGAGGTTACAGCTGTATGTTACGGTGTTCTGGAAAAATAGGGCTGATAAGACTGTATGTGAGTGTGTTTGTAGGTGAAAGTGTGTGTGAATGTGGCACTTGGCTGTGGTTCCTGTTGTAGGTGAATGAGGACAACAGTTTACATCCAGAATCCCTCTAGGCTTAGGTGTATCTCCATAAATTACAGGTTGTATAACCCAGTTATTTTTTTTTTTTAGAATTATTAACATTAACTCTAGCACACTCTCTGCTGATCGTTACTCATTTTGGACCTACTTGTATGTTACAGGATGGATAATGGCAGCTCCTGAATAACTTAAAATATATGGCTGTTATCATACATGTATTTTAGATTCAGTTGAGATGCAGAGTTGGCCTACTGACATGGGCATGGGTTGAGGCAAAGTCCCAGACATGAATCAGAGTGCTTCAGGGACATATTTAATGACAATAAATAACTTCTTGCCCAAATACACCAACAAGTGTGAAGGGGACAAGCCCTCATTGCAAATTCAAGTGTTTGCAATGTCATTTCATGTCCAAAGTATGCAGAGCACACAGCTTTACCATGGTAGCAGCATTTCCAGAAAGTGATGCCCATAAAAACAACTTTACAAGCTTTTCCTGCATCCTTCTTAATACGCTGTGATGTAATTGTCAGGCTGCAAAAAAAAAGACTCCCCCGGCATCAGACAATGCTCTGCTTCAGGATTTCAGTCTATAGGTTAGTCATGCACAGTGTGTGCTCGCATGTTCACACATGAATCAGCAGCAGAGATACGGATGTGAGACCAAATGTACAGATCATCTGTGTTCGTCTTTGGATGTGGTCTTTACTTCATTGTGTTCTGCTCATGCATTCCTCCGCAGGGTATCTGAGTTTATGTACATGTATGCCCACATGCCATATGAGCTGTGTGGTTAATTTGCAGCTGGTGTCCCTGTCCAATGTTTGATAAAAATACATTTTACCACAAAGGACAGGCTAAAAGTTCAATGATAAAATTGATGGAAGAAGTAACTTTTAATTATGTGATTCTATTAATGATGGTAATTTATCACACGCTTTATTTGACTTTAAATCACGTGTTAATGTAAATGTAAAGGTATGGTCACTTTGACTAATTAAAATCTGATTGTTTTCATCCAAAAATCGAAGCCTGGTTGTACGTGAGGGGGTCAGATTGGTGAACACCATCAGGCTTTGCCAGCAGGGAACTGTGAATAGAAGGAACATTGTGTTCAGACACACACGCGCGCACACACACACACACACACACACACACACACACACACATACACACACATCCACATGCACAAGGAGTTACATCTAAAATGAAATCCATGAAATTGAAAACACACAGAACAAGGTGTAGCTACAGAAGAGAGGGACATTTTGTGCTGACTTGTGTTCAAGAGTCCTGCAATCGAACACTTGGTCTTAGTGAGTGACACAGAACTGAAGAAGCAGAATAAATTGTGCAGATATTAATAAGCTAGATCCTTGGTTTGACCCTGTAGGTTAAGGCGCATGGATGATGACAACAGCTCTTACTGTTCCTAAGATCTCGCTCACACTGAGAAAATGGGTGAAAATCCATTTCTTAATCAGTATTCAATATGATGAGCTCATTGCCAAGATGATGCATCTCAGGCCAAGCACTGCGGCTTAATGTTCATTTTTAGAGGCCATTCAAGAACTTAGTCACAACGGCAAAATGTCCTAATATTTGCACATGATCATCAACAGCATCTGGGATGTCCTGAGAGTCAGTCAGGACAACTGATGGAAAAATCTCGAAAAATGATGATGCAGCGAAGGAGAGCTGCCGTTCCTCTCTGTCAAAACGCACGGCCCTTGAGCAAAGCCTTAAAACATCTCTGTGGAAATGTTAAGTGGCCACAAGACTGCTGTCTGAACAGCGCCTGGCATAACCTGTTCTCTCTCTCACGTTATTGTCTAGCCTTTGCTGTAAATATGAATACGATTTTACTCAGGTCATCATATGAAATCTGATTTAAAAATGTTTTTAAGAGAGAAATAGATCAGAGAGACACAACTGTACTTATATAATGTTACACGATGTCCAGTGCAAAGAGCTCCAATTATGGGCAAGAGTGAAGATGTGATGTGATAGAATTCATGCATGTGACATCAGTGAGATAATCTCTTATCTATATTTATACAGTTCAGATTGCATAGACAACATAAAAAAAGCACAAATCATAGCTTTTTATTGAAGTCTTGTTCACTGGTGACTTACCAGCATATGACCAGCAATTTAAGCAAGAACTTGCATAATTTTTTGCTTGCAATATATAATTTTGAAATCAAAGTATCTTGTTGGTAAGTGTACAAAAAACACATAAACATGTATTCTTTGTCTGGGAACTGAGTGATATCTGCTCCTCAAAGATATACAACACTGTAGAATGCTCCTTTTATAAAATTTTAACTTTATTACATTTAGAAAAAAGCGCAAAATTTCTGACCTGACCTGATGAGGAGTCAGTTTGGTCTTGAATTGCTAATATCATCCAGTGAAGAAAAAAACAACAGTCCTGTTGGTCTGCCTTACATCTCATGGTAAATATTACATTTTTATTTGCCATTGTTACTTAACAACTGTGGCCTAACATTAGTAACATCCTGATACGGTTCCATCTCAACAGCTGTGATCTGATGCGATGTGAGCAAGTGTTAATGTCTCAGCTGTTGCATGTGATAATAATCACTGAATAGCATTTGCCAACATGCTTAACATAGCTAACTAGCTTTTACATTGTCTGCAAACAGTGTCGACATTATTGTGCCAGGGCAAACTGGAATTGCTTGCAGCCAGGTTTATTGAAGCAGCAGCAATGTGTGTCGACAATGATTGCTACTGTGATGAGAGAGGCAAGATTTAGCAGATGTAACACCAACAGGTCGTAACAGTTTAGTTTTTGGCAAAGCTGCTGCTGAAGTTTTTTTTTTTTTCGCCACATGAATGTGTGAGATGGAGGCAGTTAGCATGAAGAGAGCCGTACAGCATCTGTCTGTCTGTCTGCATGGAGTAAACTGTCGAATACCACAAGTTGTCATTTAATGTCATGGTTAGATTTGTAATCATGTTTACATATTCTTTGATCAGATAATCCTAAAGTGAGCCTAATTTGATTCAAGATTTTGCCAGTTTTAGACGTTTTTAATTCAGGCAAAGTTGTTTTAGAGAAACTTGAGAACATTTGAGAATATTTGGCTTTTGTTTAAAAAAAAAAAGAAAAGAAAAAAGAATTTCAACATATTCATGATTCTCAAAGTCAAGTATCAAAATTTACTGGAAAAGTTCATTAGGGATGATATCAGCACTTGTACTGAAAAACTTCAAGCGATACTTATCCCTACTCTATCATTTACCATTATATACGATTCTATATCTGTAATGTCTGGTCAGATTCGTAATCTTGTTGTTTACCTGTTCTTTGACCAGATGGTTCACAATTTAAATAAACATTTAAAATTTGAAATTTGGCTTATTTTGTTGCAGCAAATGTAAAATTTCTGTAAGGAGCCAAAAAGTATCGTCAAGAGTATCATATTGTCACTAAATTGAACAATTTCAGTTTCAGTCTATATACCTATCAGTCTGACTGTGTAAAGCTGTGTATCAACCTGGGTGTCTGTGTCTGTACTAGTACCAAGCTGGGATCAAATGCCTGGTCACAGTTCGTTATGAGGACGTGACGACCATGCAGAAGTCCAAATAAAGTTTAAAAAACTGTGTTGCTTTACACTAACACAGCCTCAAAGACCCAGTAGTGACAACATTTAAACTATGGACGGGTGACAAATTAAAGGATAAACCTGATTAAATGAGTGGAGAAACAACCAATGCAGATGCTTCCACACAGACTGCAAGGTACAAGTGAGCAGTTAACAGCCTGTCCTGCTCTGTGGCAGGTATAACAATGCTGAGCAGGTCTATTGATTCTGATTTTGTATCAAGATGACACAAGGCAAAGATCTGACTTTGAGAGAGGGTTCATTGCTAGGGCACAGATGGCAGGAGCTTCAGTCTCAGACACTTCTCAACTGGCCAGTGTTTCAATAGGCTCAGTGACTTAAGTGACATCTACATTTAGATGTATGGGGAAAAACATCAGTAAATAGGGTCGGACATTGCAGTCACGAGGGCACATTTGATGACCATGATGCGATATGTAAGGAAAAAACAGAAGAGCAATTCTTCCTTAGGTAACTGAGAATATCAGTGTAGGACATGATCAGACTGTGTCAGCAAGAACAGTCCGTCCACACAGAAGGATATTATAGTAGGGCTGTAGTGCAGGAACCCCTCATTACAAAGATGAAAGCACATTTGAGAGTTCAGTGGTGCAAAAAGCATATGCACTGCTTTACAGAGATTTGGGGAAAAAAAGGGATATGGTCAAATGAGTCATCCTTCACCATAGGGTCAGCAAGTGGGCGAGTGCATGTTGCATGTGTAGCATCCATTAAATGAACGGTACAGGCCTGAATGCCTGACCCCTGTGGTGAGGGGATCTGTTGGCGCTGTTACGCTGTGGGGGGGCATTTTGCTGACATGGTTTGGCTCCGCTTAGAGTTGCAAATCAATACAAAGTTGTTTGGCGTGATCACCCTCATCCCATAATGAAACACTGCCATCCTGATGGGAGCGTGCTCTTCCAGGATGACAATACATCAATCTATAGAGCAGCGGGGTGAACTGAATGTTTAGATGAGAATGAAAATGATGTGAATCATATGTTATGGCCTTTCGCACCTGTGGGAGATTCTGGACTGATGTGTTAGTCAGAAACTCCACCACCATCATCAAAACACCAAATGAGGGAATATCTTGTGGAAGGATGGTAGAGTCCAGAGACTTGTAGAATCAAACTGCATTGAAGTTGTTCATGTGGTGGCCCAACGCCTTACTAAGACACTCTATGCTGGCTTTTCTTTTAATTTGTCATGTGTCTGTATAGCACAACATCACCAGACCAAACGCGACAATATGCAGCCTCATATTGTGATATTACATCAGTGCATCACCACTGAGTTGAAGAGTCGTGATCAAATTCAAGATTTTCACTGCCTCATCACAAACACTGAAAGAGATAAAAATGATCTAGGCTACTTGTGATGGCGCAGCTTTATAAGCACAGAGTGTGTGAGTGTAGTCGAGCCCACACTTTCCTGTGCATGAGGCTTTCGAAAAGAAGAATGTGATGTTGAAATACTCATCACAAAATGAACTGTGAAGATATCTAAAGCAGATTTCATTTGGTCCATAAAATATCCAGATGCCATTTGTAGATTGTCACAGGGCCATAAAGTAATAGTCCTGAACATACTGTACCTCTACCTTTGTGAACATAGCCTGTGTTACAAAACGAAATGACAAGGAAGCAACTAGCTGCTGCCTTTCACATAGATTTATAGTTACGTAATTACTTCATCTGTGGAGGATCAGACAAGGTGTGATACAGCTGAGTGATAGCACAACTGCAGTAAGTAATGCTCCTCATACAAATGGGATTGATGCGAATGTGGCTTTTGCAGCAAAACTGCAAATTCATCTTCAGTTACAGTGTATAGACTTATGTCTTTAAATAGCAGCAAGTTATATAATGTGAAGAAAAAGTCATATTTTCTTGTATTGATATTTTTTGTCAGAGATCGTGATTTTCCAGTCCATCTCCACAAATTAAACATAAGAGCCATAAGGACGTGTTATTTATGGTGCTCAGATTGCTGACACATAGATGTTTGTTCATTTTCTTTTGCAGTGTTACTGTGTGATGCCCACATGCAGAAATGACCACTGATCAGGATTTGCCTATGGATGCCCAGTCAGCCACAGCCGTGTTTGCTGCAAAGGGCACTGATGTAACACCCAATAAAGACCAAGGAGTTATCAAGGTATTTATTGTCATTGCTTTAAGTTTTCATGTAGGTGTTCAGGCACTAGTAGGACTCACTGTCCCACCATATGGCATGGTCGTGATTCGGTCTGTTCCAGCTCCTATTTCTTTTTATATTCTCTGTCAAAAAAAAAACTTTTTAGTTGAAATGGAAATCTGTTGTCCTTCTGTCTGCAGGTTGTGAAGCATCCAGGGTTAGATGGAGACCGGCCGATGATTGGGGACAGAGTGACTGTCCACTACACTGGAAAGCTGCTCACGGGGAAGAAGTTCGACTGCAGTCGAGAACGCAAAGAGCCTTTTTGCTTCAATGTGGGCAAAGGTAGGTGGCTTTATGCATTACTGTCCAGCTTGATAGTGTGGTAGGGTTATTTATTACTTAAAGTAATAGCTTAACATTTGGGGAATTATGCTTATTAGTTAGTTTAGATAGTTTAGAGATTAGAAGATTGATCCCACTCACATGTCAGCGAAGTAAAAATGAAGCCACAGGAAGGACACATTTATCTTAGCTTAGCATAAAGACTGGAAACAGCTAGTTGTTAAATCTAAGATGTTAAATCTCATTTGTTTCATCTGTAAAAAAAAAGCTGTATTATTAAAAAAATGCCAAGGTTCGGGTCTTTGGAGTATTTTATGGTTATGTGTCGGACTGTTTCCTGGCTGGGAGTGCCCAAGTCATCTTTTTGTTTTGGTTTTTGTGCAAATTAGACAAAAGAGATCAATCGTGTTAATTAATGAGCTTTAGAGGTGCTGGTAGGCAAATTTTGTTACCATTGGAGAGAGCCAGGTTAACTGTTATAGCATTTTCAGTCATTACACTCAGCTAGGCTAAGCTAAGCTAGCCAGCTGCTTGCTGTAGCCTTATATTTAACAAACAGACATTCTCATCTAAGGGTTGGGTTATGCTCAGTCAGAACTACAGTTTATGTTGTCTGACCACACTGGAAGTCAAAACTGTGTTTATAGTTGTTTATAAGGCCCACACTTGAAGATGGAGTGAAAAACTGGTCATCAGAAAGACGAGACACGTGATATTTTTAAAATAATGTCAACAGTGAAAAAAGAGATCTAAAGAGAGAAGTTCAAACCCTTTCTCACCCTCCTCACAGCTGACCAGTCCCTGTGTGAAGTGGGCGTGAGTGTCAGATCATTGGTTTTTGGAAAGTTATGGACACAGCCCCCCTAATCCAACGTCAGACATTTGTGTGTGTGTGTGTGTGTGTGTGTGTGTGTGTGTGTGTGTGTATTCCTTTAATTGGTATTTAATCTTTAGAGGTGCACTTAGGCAGATCATGTTACCTTTGGAGAGAGCCAGACTAGATTCCCCGTCTGCTCTCTTTAAGTTAAGATAAGGTGATCATTAAACTGAATTCTCCACCAGAAAGCAAACTTCCCAAACTGTTCCTTTAAATTGTCATTGTTATACTTGATTAATGCTTGATGAATTATCTCAGCCAAGAAGGTCATGTTTTCAACTGTGTCTGGTTATTTGACAGCAAAATTATGCAAAAAACAATAAAATGCACTTGCGGTGGGGAATGGGCCAGGGGAGAACCCACTACATTTTGGGGCAGATCCGGATCATTTACTCTGAATTTGATTGTTTGTTTTTTTAAGTCTGGTGTATGTTTGACATTGGCCTTGGCAAAGGTCTGCATTTCTGAATGCCATTCTAGTATAGTTTATTTTGAACCAGTTAAATGACTCACTAAAATCTCAAAATTTTTTTCATCTGCTTTATCCACCCACAGGACAGGTCCTGAAGGCCTGGGACGTTGGTGTGTTGTCCATGCAGAAAGGTGAGGTGTGCAGGTTACTGTGTAAACCAGACTATGCTTATGGACCTGCTGGAAATCCTGACAAAATTCCTCCCAACTCCCAAGTAGTATTTGAGGTAGGTGTGCCACATCAGTGCTGCCAATTTGTGCCACTGTTAATTGTGCATCACACCAAGGGACTCTGACAATTTAGGGGCATGTGTCAGTCTCTGCAGATGGAGCTTTTGGTCGTAAAATTAACTGGTCTGTCTATTTTAATCCCTCTCAGTCAAACAGCCAGTGTAGTCCAGTTGGCCAGTCTTTTTGGAGCTCAGTGGGGATACAATTCAGGCTTTCTCAGTCCTCTACAATCAATGATCATTATAATTTAGTTCCGGATAAAAATCAAAAGAGATTTAGCCGACTGCTCTGCTTTACAAGTCACCCCCCATAGACACATTTTAGTTATAAAATCGCATATTCTACCCCCTGTAAACTTTCTTTTGTCAATTGTCCCACTGTGTCACTGCCAACAATAATCTAACTGTGTCAGATGTTATCAAGCGTTTCATAATCTGTTGTGTAGTGTAAAATATAAATGAGATCATTCATCATGTGTTGCACAAGTATACATATCTATTAAGTATAGACTATCGGGTCTGTTTATTTATTTTTTAACAGATGTATTGAATTTTGGGTAACACTTTACTTATTTAGCATTTGTAAGCAGTATTTGAGAAATGGTTTACAACTCACTATAATGTTGTTATTACAGTAGTAATAAAGTGTTAATGAAAGGAGAGATTATAATTGTTGTCAAATACTGTACATTTCACAATGTCCTTATAGCTGCTTATATGCATGTTATCAACCACTTACTAAAGTTTTATATACTGCCTATAAGCTAAATAGGCAGACTTAAAGTAAAGTGGTATTGAATTTTATTTTTCTGAATATCAGGACATTATTGGGACAGTCATTACAAACATGTGCAGCCAAATTTTGTTCAAACCCACAAAACTTTATTTTAAATCCTAGCAAGGACCCCAAAGTCTCCAAAGATGCCTGATATAGGCTGAAGGGGTATAAGGCTGAATGTGGGGAGAACGTGTGTAAAATGATGCACAGGACATAAAAGAAAAAAAATATTTCCATTTGATTGAATGGAGCAGCCATAAAGAGCTGTCTTTGGTTTGAATGTAAATATCATATAGTTTAGGTTGCAATAGGTTACAACATTATATTTACATAACATTAAATGTCTGACTGCACAACCTACCTGTATTGTATCTTCAATAGTCATTATTATTTTATTCGTTTTTATTTTCATGACTTTTGTGGTGACTCCTACTTATTTTTTTATTTATTTGTTTTTCTCCTCTCACACCTACATACTGTAACACCATACATCAACTTCTGCAGAGCTGTAATTTTGTATTCTGCTTTATATTACTGTTTGTGTAGCACAATGATTAAATAAACGTTTACATCAAAACAGATGGAGCTACTTAATTTCGAAGGAGAGATGCTTACAGATGATGGCGGCATCATGAGAAGAATAAAGGTCAAAGGGGACGGTTACACTAATCCCAACGATGGGGCAAGTGTTGACGGTAACAGCATTCTCTGCTTCAAGGATCAATGTTGATACTATGCCAGTTTTGCCGAATAATCAATATATTAAACGGTTACATCAGAGTTGACATTGTGTCATAATTTGTGTCATGTGTTCCACAGTGCACCTGGAGGGGAGCTGTGGTGGTCGACTGTTTGACTGCAGGGACGTTACCTTTATTGTAGGTGAGGCTGAAGATAAAGGCATTCCTCTGGGAGTGGACCGAGCTATGGACAAGATGCAGAGAGGAGAGAGCTGTGAACTTCACCTAAAACCAAAGTAAGTTAAATCTGTGACTTGGTCTGCTCCGTCATTGCGCTTAGAGTGTTTCAGTCTTTATGTGAAATTTCTTTGGAACTCTCCATCTGAGAAGCTAAGAAGAGATATGAAGGAGGGTCTTTAGGGCTTATAGACATTTGAAATGGGGTAAGTCGTCCAAACAGCCATTGCTTTTTTGTGAGGGTTCACAAGTCAAAAATGTTGGGAACTACTGGTTTAATGTGCTGTATTTTATAAGCTTATCTCTGATCTATTAAAGTAACTAGTAACTATATATGCCATATACATGTGGTGGAGTTAAAAAGTACAATATTTGCTTGTGAAATGTAGTGGATCAGATGTATAAGATGTAAATAGATATATTTAAGTAAAATGCATGACTAAATGTACTTAGTTACATTCCACCACAGGCTGATACCACACCAGAAAAATCCTTAAATTTACAATTTACAAAGATTTAGTATTTATGCAGTGCTGTGACTGCTACTATTAATATGAAATATTTTGTACATACATATGTGGAGTCAGAAGTCATTTGGTCTTCAACAGCTCTACAATGATTCTATGTGGATATGATCAGGATAGACTGTATTGATCAAAAACCTAATTGTTCAGTAATTATAATTCTTAACTTTCAGAGATCAGACAAAAAAACACATGTAATTCTTGTTATTCTTGTATCTTCAACCAGCTCTGCATTTAAGTACTTTTGTTTTTTTTGTTAAACATAAATACCATAGACAAAAGGGGAAAACAATAATAAATATAATGCATGTAGTACAGCCTAGACCACATCTAATTGTTCTGCTAATTAAAAAAATATTTTAATATCAATAAAATAGACAGAAAATTGATGGAGGAATTATTACAGTAAATAGAACACATTGTACTGACCAACCACATCATATCACTCCCCTCCCTTAACCCTGCCCACACCAACCCCTCAGGCAAAAGCAATACAGAGTATCGGCGATAAGTACTAGGAATTCATAGCGCAGAAACAATTCATGCTGAGAGGTCATGCCAGCATGTGGTCAACTAACACTGTGACAAATCTAATAAAAGAAGAAAATAAAGACAGACGAACAAAAGAAACAAACTATGAAAAATTATATTCATAATGCTTCTCCAGCTCAGATGACAAAAATCTCCGTTGATCTCAATGGGAAAACTGTCTTCTAGTGTAGGTCCTGCAGTATTTATTCTGTTTCATACTCCCTCAATTGCATCTCTTTTATTTAATGCCATGAAAGATGTCATCTCCTTTATCCACTTACACATGTGTAGATGTTTTTTTTTCCAGTTAAAAGCTATAAGCCTCTTTGGTTGCAAAATAAACATGTTAATTAGTAAGCTACATACTAGCTCTGCTTTATATTAAAATCCATAGGGCTTAGATTGATAATGAATAGGTTCTAAAGGAACGTGTGTTCAAAGCAAACTTTCTATTGCGTTATAAACTCCTCTCCAGGAATCTTTCCAAATTCCTCACCAGCCCACATTCTCGAAAGCAGTGGAACCATGTCCCTTTAATGTCATTGCATTTTGAGCAAGTGCCTGGAATCAAAGTAAAACATGTTTATATTTTGACATGTGCAGCATGTGGGGAATTTTCACCGTCCTCAGGTTTTTAATGTTTGTCACAAGTGGGATTTCCCTCCTTGTAGTTTAAATGTCAGATGGCTTGAGTTGACTGTTGACAGTTGGTTTTGATTTCCCAGTTTGGCTGCTTGACATTTAGACATGAATGTGTTCCAAAATAAATATTTAGCAGTTAATTTTGTTTCTAATTTTGTTTCAGTATCGTCAACAGGCTGATGATGATCGTCATGGTTTTTTTTTTTTTTTTTTCTTTTTTACAGGTATGGGTTTGGAAGCGAAGGTAGACCAGAGTACAAAATAGGACCAGACAAAGATATTGTATATGAAGTTACCCTCAAAGACTTTCAAAGGGTGAGCTCTCTTTTTACTTTTCCTGGTCTAATATACTTTAAACAGCCATTCTACATTATATCAGACGAGATTCGGGATCAATACATGTCTGTTACTTTGGGTAGATTTTCCATTGAAGACAAACAAATTTTGGGAAAAATTTAGCTCCTAGATAACTATGTAGCAAATTTCAGCTGACTACATAAAACATAAAAAGTAGTGTTTACTCATTTTCTGTGACGCCAACTGTGTTTCCACAAGGCTAAAGAATCCTGGGAAATGGACTTGAATGAAAAGCTGGATTTGGCTGCTGGAGTGAAGCATAAAGGGAATCACTATTTTAAGGTACAGTGCCCATGCTGGTCTTCTATCTTAACAAATGATTTTTCCTCTTGCTTACATCTTTCTAAGTTCCTATTATCTTCCCGTATTAGGTGGGGCGGTACTTCCAGGCGGTCATCCAGTACCAGCGCATTGTTTCCTGGCTTGAGATGGAGTGTGGTACTGGGATAGAGCAGCAGAAGAGGATACAAGACTTTATTTTGACGGCCCACCTCAATTTAGCATTGTGTTTCCTGCGGATAAAAGAGTTCTCACAAGTAGTGGAGAACTGCAACAAGGTGGGAGGCTGCATGGCCCTGATGATAGTCCATAATTAAACACCATTTAATTTCCTTAAGTGTCTCTTTGTAACAGCTGCTCTTCTAGATATATTCTTACCTAATTACTGTGTGTGTGTGTGTGTGTGTGTATTAGGTGATTGAGCTTGATGAGAGCAATGAGAAAGCTTTGTATCGTCGTGGGGAAGCACGTCTCCTCCGCAACGAGTTCAGCCTTGCCATGGCAGACTTTCAGCAAGTGCTTCAAGTCAACCCCTCAAATCGGGCAGCTCGTGCTCAGATTTCCATCTGCCAGACCAAGATTAAGGAACATCATGAACAGGACAAGAGGACCTACGCCAACATGTTCCAGAAATTTGCAGAACGGGACGCCAAGGTCTGTGAACTCACTGCTCTTGGCTGAATGTACATAAACAGTCAGCCTGACTTGTTTCCTTTCTTTTCTTTTCTTTTCTTCTTTCTTTTCTTTTCTTTTCTTTTCTTTTCTTTTCTCTAAGTGAATTAAATACTAACTTTTAAATTCATTTAAATTTGAAGAAATGAAGAAAGTTATTTGGACTGAATTTGAATCTCATAGCACACCTTACCACACACACACACACACACACACACACACACACACCCACGCATGCACCACAGAACTGATATAGTCCGTAATTTGTGGTCTTTTTTTTTGTGGTTTTATGACGCATCAAAACAGTTCTAATACTGAAAGCTTGTCATCAAATTCCACTCATAACAAGATCATGGCCCATCACATTTATTTAATCTTAGACAAGTATATGTGTCTGAGGCACATCAAACCCTTTAAAATTTGTTGATTTTTTTAGCTTCTGCTCTCGTGTTCATCTAGCTCTATTTAATCCAATCAAAATTTTTTAAATATAAATATATTTTACCAATATGTTTATGTGTAGGTTGATATTTGACCATTCATCAGCCATTTTGGGTATGAGAATGAGGGTGGGAATTACAGATGCAATTGAATGAAGTGCCTTCAGTGTCCTAGACATGTTTTGATATGCATCTCAAATATATTACACTTATGTAGCTGATTTAGTTATTGTTTTCAAAGCTCAAAGGTTACATTTTGATAGTAAATCATCCTGCTTCATTGTCCTCCCTTCTTCTCATTGTACTTTCTTTAGTAGTACACTACTGACCTCTAGTGGCTGTTGATGGATTTGTTTCTCACTTATTGATGCTGATTCTATTCTCTGTTAAAAAGAGAGAAAGAAAATAAATCAAAAATACAAAAGTAACAAAACAACATGGTACTAAAACAACTTAATGTTAATGACCAATCTAAATTTAGTCGGTTTTCACAGTATTAAATTAATTTTACTGAATGCACAGTTTCCTGGAACATTTCAGAGACATTTTCTTCAGTCTAAGAACTTGCCTTATCAACAATTTTCATTTGTGCCTCTGTGTCTTATACATAGATTGGGAAGCCGAAGAGGAGGCGGGATGACAGCATGAGGAGTGGCATGAACGGTGAGATGGGCATTAAACGACGGCGGAGTAGTCAGGAGTGTCTGTCGTAACGGTGATATTTGAAAAAGAGAAAGAGAAAGACATGCCTCCCTTTGCTTTCCAAGCCCAGGGAGCAGAGGCAGGAACGAAGACATATAAAAGCCTCTAATCCAAACCTCTTTATCCCAAAATCCAGCGTTACCATTCCTGCATATAAAATGGAGTGTAAGCGGGGACATTTGCAAGCCAAACAGCATTTCCCTGTCACATGGACTGTGCAACTGCCAGGATGTACCCCCTAGTGGATTTAGTACTGCAGAATCAGTGAGTTAAGATTGTCCCCTTTACAAAAAAAATATAGTTTCTTCAAAAACACAGAGGAATTCCACTTTCTTTGTCATTAGACTTCTGTGTAAAGTTGAGATGTGCCTCCACAGTGTGTTTTTCCTATTCCAAAACTGCACTCATTGGTTTTCAGACATCAGACTTGTATTTGGTATTAAGCCTTTTCTTGGGCAGCTGCATGCATGTGTCACAAGGTGTTTGGGATTCAGGCTTGAAACTTTTTTGAAAACTTTTTTTTTTTTTTTTAAATGTGCAATATGTACTTTGCACAAAAGTGTAAAAGTCTGGTTCGCTCAGTAGTTTTTTTAAAGAAAAACACAATCGATTCTAAAATTTAAGAAAAGTAAATTGCCCTCAACTTATAGTGTTTTTCACCACGTGACTTGACTTGAATTGACTTGACTCAACTCTACTTGGTTTTGGTATCAGGTAATTCTTTTTCCACTGTAGATAGTACCCCCTCAATGCTTCATTGCTAGAATAGCGACCGAGTACAAAGCCATCATGATGTAATCTTCAAAGTGACAAACACATGAACAATGTAGGATATAGAAGGGTTACCAAACAGAGAGTGACCATGGCTTGGCTTTGTGTGTTGCCGTACTAAAAGTATAGTACACACGGTAACTAAAAGAACTGTAACTGTAACTTCGGGCGGCTGTGACTCAGGAGGTAGAACGGGTCGTCCACTAATTAGAGGTCAGTGGTTCGATCCCCGGCTCCTTCAGTCCACAAGTCGAAGTGTTCTTGGGCAAGATACTGAACCCCACCTTGCCCCTGATGGCTGTTCCATCAGTGTGTGAGTGTGATGTATGAATGTGTGAGTGAATGGGTGAATGTGGCAAGTCCATAACTGTCTACTGTCTACAGTGAGCGGTGTACAGTCGCATGGTGGGTTTGTTCAGAACGTCCTGTCTCGCACAATGATGATACAGTAATGACGATTCTCTCTGACCAATCAGTAGTCTGCAGTTTGTTTTTACATCACTTTTTGGAATTGCCTCATCTTGCTTGGACCCTCTGTGGAGGTGATACCAACAATAGTACAAAAGATTCCAGGTGGGCTATTATCCACAACTTTTGCCCGATGAAAAAAAAATAAAAAGTTGAGTAGACTTGAGTTGAATTGAGCCGTTACCATGCAGTGGAAAGGGGCTATTAGAAATGAATAATCATAGAGTTGGCAATTACACAAGCCTGAACTCATTTAATGTCGGGAAATACAAAAATACTACAATTCACAAATACTAAATTCTCCTTCAGACATGAACCTTCAGTATTGTCAGAAATCGCTGATAAGATCCTCAAATTATCAGCAGACGCCAGAAGCAGAGAGAAGAATTTGAAAAAAAGCACAAACTACAAATATGAAATCATACCAAAATATAAATCTGTAATTCTGGTGTTCTGGCAAATTCACAATTTACTTTTATATTGTGATTTGCTACTACTCATGAAGACAAATCAGTGCATCTTTTTTTTTTTTAAGCCCGTAACAGATTCAGATGAGATGCAATTCAAATTTAGACATTTGTTTTGGGCAAAGATGAGGCATTGTTTTCCTAAGATGGGTTAAGACCACAGTCATGCACTAAAATAATTTATTCATGAGTACATGCATGATAGGTCATTATTAATTTGTTTAAATCTTATATTTTATCTATAAAAACACATCAGGCAGTATAAACGGTTTTAATGAAAAGACCAGCCTGGCATTGTAGTAGGATCAAGTAAAACACCCGATGATAGGCGCCTTTGGGAGTGATAAGAGATAAAAACATAATTTTTAAGGACTGATTACATTTTAAGCCGGTGGCAGCTGCAAAAACTTTTAATGAAAAAAAAAAATAGAACCGTCAAACTATATATATATAAAATTAAATGTTTCCGCTATTAAGCTTTGGTGGATTTTAGTGATTGACGAGTCGAAGTTTCTTCTTCTGTTGCACTCATTGTGTGTTGATCTATCAGCATGGCACAATCGTCAGCGCACATAAAATCTTCATTCATGAAGTGAATGCATGCAGCATTACTTCTGCTACTGTCAAAAATCTGAATAATTGTGATTCAGGCTTCCCATAAGAGGAGGCGTTTGAATCACCCCATTCCCACCTTTGTATTTGACAGGGCAGACAGACCACTGCTGACTCTGCGAGTGGAGGTGGGAGAGGGATCACAATTAAGCTTTAAAATTGTCAGAACCACATTTTTCTTTCAATCTTTCACAAATTTCATGAACTCTGGTAATGTGATCAGCTACATAATTTTATATCTGTGTAGTTTTTTTTTTTTGCCTCAGTCCCAGAAAAAGGTGTCTCTTTATTTCACTGCATCCATTATTATTATTTTTTTATTTTTAAATGTGTGAATGTCAGTGGATAGTGGACAATGATGCACTTTGGTGACTGTCAAACCAACACTGTTATCTTGTCATGAAATGTCTGGATAAAATCTGGACAATATCCTTGAGATGTTTTATAAACATTGGTTGGTTCAGAATGAAAACCTTAGCTGTCTTAAATATTTTGTGTAAAAAAAAAAAAAAAAAAAAAAAAAAAAAAAAAATCAACAGTGTGTATGTGTGTGTGTTAATATATATTGTTGTTTTTTAAACAGCTTGTTGCTAAATGTTTTCAAGTACTGCTGGCTCTAAACATTCAAACATTTTGTACAGTGGAAATGAGCATGAAGTACTTTTTTCTATCAGTTATACGGACTATTTATCCTCCACTGTCCACTACAAATAGATTTACAGGCCTCTTACTGCTACATTCATCATTTTGATAACTTGAAAGTGTAAATTTCAGGAATAATTTGGAAAATGTTGACAACAACAAGCAGGATAAAATGCAGCTGGTTAAACTGCAGCATGGCCGATGTGGGTTTGGTTTTTATTAGAAAGTGAAGTGTAATGTCATACAAAATGTTTACATGTATTCAAAAGATCATTGCCCTGTAAAGCAAAGTGTGATCAATGTTTTAAACCGGCATTTATGCAAAAGAAATATTTTCAGACAAAAAAACTACGTAAGGTACCTTTGTTCATGTCTTCTTTATATATTTTTTTATTTTTTTGCACTTTAAAAGCATTAAATAAATCCAAGAGTTGCATTTAAAGAAACATGTCATTCTTCAAGTTAGGCCACTATTTTACAGTATTATAGCTTTCAGCGTTGCTTTTGGCATTATAGCAGTATTGTCATAAAAATGTTTAAATGGAAAATTTATGGTTAAGTTTTCATTTTTCTTTTAAAAAGTAAGTGTGGGAATCTTGTATATGAGTTGACATGGAGACTACCAGAATAGCTATTTTCCCATTTCATTATAACTCATGCACCTTTTGGTTTTACTCTCTTTAGAGTGACTGGTGCAATAACATTTTTCCAATTGATATTTGCCATTTCTTTTAACTTAATTTTACACTTTTTGAAATCTTAACAACAGCAACTATGGCATAGAATTGCATTCTGTCGACATTTTTAGGTTTCACATATCTGGATACATGAATGTGTCTTTCTTCCGTAGTTAACAGTGGGTTTTTACAGCTTTTGGAGAACAGCTGCATGTAGTGGCCGAAAACATTTATACCTTTCTATGATAACTTGACAAATGTCATCTGCAGGTGAAGATCATGGGATCCGATCAAAAGCTCCTCAAAAGGATCAAATGGACCTTGTGGTGAGATTGTTTTCCCAGCTGTGTTACTGATATGTGTTATTGCAGCTGAGTTGGAAATTTGACATTTAAAAACTTGATGCATGATGCATTCAAGGACACAATGGTTTATATTGTGACTTCTTTAATGGTCTCCGAAGACTACATCAACTGCAAAAGCATCTGAATCAGTGTAGCATTCACAGAACAAAATTTGTTTTGCATTATTGCCAATTTATAATAACCGTTTTATCTAAAAACTGTTGATTTTAACTGTCAAAAAAAACAAAACAAAAAAAGTTAAAATCATGAATCAACTTTTCTCTCAAGCAACAACAAACTGGTGACTGATCATTACTGAATGTTTGTAAACGATTAATAATGTACTCTCATTTGAATTACTATTCAAAGCTATTTTTCTGAGTCAGATCAATGTTCTATCCATAATTGATTTGTATCTAGTTAAATCATCAAATGTAAAGCACTGATTCTGCCACCATTCAGTCTGACAAAATCATGAGGTGAAAACAGCAGAAATAAATCAATAATGATGAGCTGCCAGTTTACTGAAGCCTATTAATACTTAATCACATGAATACCTGTTTGCTTCATTCATAGATAATACTTGCAAAATTGCGCACTGTTTGATGAGACTTATATGACATTAACTTATCAAATACCAGTGCTGTCATTCATTCAATTACACAAACGTATTCGTTAAGACAACATCAGCTAACTGGTTGTTCATGATGGATTTACTGTTAACAGCGTGTAATATAAAGTGTGAACATGAATTCACACAGTTTCTGCAACACAAATCATTTAAAAAACAAATTATTGATTGATCCTTAAATGTGTAAAGTAACACATTACAGCATTTATGTCTCATACAAAGAACTACTGCCACAAATTTCACTGATATATGATATAAAAACAATACAAAACGATACAAACATTAAGTTGCAAACTTGATAAATGAGTATTCTGTATAAAAACTAGAATTACACAAGCTTAAAGCTTCATCTACAGTAAAAATATAATCTATTTAACTTCTGTTAAAAATATACTCTGTGACTATGACGGTTATAGCCAACAGTTTTACACAGTGTGTCTCTTTTCTATTTGGTGTGTCTATCATCACAGGCCCAATTGTAGTAATTACCTTTTTTTTTTTTTAAATATTACACCAAATACAAACTTGTAAATGTTGAATAGTTTTATGCCTGTTTGAGCAGCACATATGTATTTTTTCAGTAGCAGTGCTCAGGTCAGAAACACTTGTGTTGGGACAGCCTGGTGTCTCATTGGCTATGGTGCTCACAGTGTCCTGGGTCTGAATCTGACCCTTAATGCTGGATAGCCTCCCTTGTTTCATGTCACTCCTGTCACAATAATTTACATTTATTGAATTAATTCCATTGACAGTGACCTAAAAGTGACTTTAGTGTTCAGTCTGTATGGCCTTTAGGAGGTGCTGATCAATGTTACTTTACTCCATATAGTTTTATAAACTGGTTAGAACAAAACAAAACAAAAACAACCATATACTCAAGTGATCCGTCAATCGGCTGTTTGACAGATTACTTATCAGCAAAAACTTTAATAAGTGATTCATTGTTTAAGTAATTTATCAAGTTGTTAACTGTGAATTGGAGAAAACGAGACCTCTGAAGAAGTCATGCATTGGCACTATTTTCTGACATTTCATAAACTAAACGATTAATTGATTATTGAAAAAAGTAGTGATGGATTAATTCATAATGAAAATTGCAGCCCTACTTGCTACTCTTCGGAGCTGTTGCTGACTGAAAGTCACATGATGAAACCAAAGATGACTCCAATTGCTGAATGAAAACCATGAGATGTGTTTGAAAGCTCAGAAACAAAAAAAAACAGAAGGTTTCCTGTGTGTGGACCTTTGAGCTTAGATTCTGTTTCCCATGTCCTTTAAATTATTTCTGTTGAGTGAGCATTCAAACTCTGCAGTGCTTAGTGGAGCGATAACAAAGTGAATTTGAAACCATTCCTTTAGTGCAGTGATTCCCAGCCAGGGGTTGCAAGATAAAGTAGCTTTGTTTTAAGGGGAAAAAGATTGGGAATCACTGGTTTAAAAGGAACTTGGTGTATGACTTCTGCATTGGGGGTAAACCTTCCCTTGTGTCTCAAAAAGTGTTCAGTGTTTCTGAACCTGCTCCAGTTTCTCTCTTCTCATGAGGGCACCATGCTGTCAGGAGATGAGGTCAAGTCGAGCAGCTCAAAAGCCTTTTTCTCTGATTTGGTCAAAGGAAGGTCTTCAGCTGGAGTACATAAGATGGAGATCCTCTAAGAAAGAAGAATATCATTTTTAATTAAAAAAAAAGAAAATCAGAAACACACAAACACATAGCTTTTTGGAGACCCCAGCTCACCTGTCGTAGTGTACCAGGAGTGACGCTCAGATTGTACAGCATCCACAAGGGAACCATGAGCGTAGAGGAGAGAGTGAACCACCAGCCAAGAGCATAACCCCACCATGGATACTCAATTGTGTTGTTGAACTTCAGAGGAGTATATTTAACCAAAGAGAAAATGAACGTTCCCTGAAAATAGTAATGGGAAAAGCTGTTTAAGTCTTTGCAATACAGTTTACAAAATGTTAAAAATGTAACCTAAATCACTCCAAGCTAAGTTTAACACTTAAAGCTAATTCAACCATTTATAAAGGAACTTTCTTTTTATAATTCAAGTTTTTGAATAATCATTTCAGTTGCCATTTAGCTAAACCACTCTCCTGAACAGTCAGAATGGACAACCAAGACTTGTGAGGAATGAATTAAACAGTGTTTATTTGCTCAAATGTAACCTGCAATTGTTACCACGCCCGGCTATCTTACTACTTACACATGTGACCTAATGTAACTTCCAAGGCCAAGAATTAGTATCATTAGCTAACTACAGTAGTTTGTGAGGTTACAGGTTAAGTTTAAAAAAAAAAATGTATGTAATGTGTTGTATTACACCACTGTATGGGAGTTGGTCCTGGATACTATCACTTTTATGCTAATGTTGCCATCTCTAACATCAGCTTAAAACATCAACTAGTCCTTATTCTATAAGCGTTTTCTCTTTTAATTTTAATGTAATGTAATGTCTGAGAACAGAAAACTTGACAGGCAGCAGTAAGTAACTAACTTTTATTGTAACTCACCATGCAGACTACTGGAGTGACATATTTCAAACAGTATTTAATCAGGGGAAAAGGCTTGTAGCCAATCATATCCTCAATGTTATCATAAAACCGATCTGCGCCTGTAAGTAGATGGAAACACATATGTGAGGAAATTTCTGAGGAAAACCTGTGAAGAGATAAGTACATTCTTATTTGTTAACGCACCATACACCCATCCAATAGAGACAGACTGCAGTATTGCAAAGAGAAGTAGAGTCATCCCACTGCAGGCATAGTAGTCAAACACCTGGAAGATGTACAGTCCACCCTGTGTTTGAGACGAGAATTCAGTTAGCTATTCTGTTATAACGGTCTTACATGTGGTTATTATAAATGATGTGACATTTTAATTCGAAGATCTTACTTCTGTAACCATCACAAGGCCGATGAAGAAACTGAGAACACTAATAGCAAGCAGAAGAAGTTTACGTCGATGACCAACGTGGAAGAAGGAGGGATTCATGTCACAAATTGCTGTTACGAGAGCTTCCAAGCCTACAAACTGAAACAGACCTCTCAGTTAAACAATAACTCTACCCCTGAACCACGTACTATGATCTTTGCAGAGCTGATGTTACAAAGTACTCAGAGAGTGCATACCTCCTCCAGGGCTGCACATTTCTCTAATCAAATTATTTTTTAATAAAGATAATGATTAGGTTCTTTTTTTTTTTTTTTTTAAATCTGCACCTGGATCTGGATCTGCATTGAAATACATTAACAAACAAAAATCATGTGACATATGATTGTGATTGTTTCATATTAGTAAGAACAGTAGTTCATGATAAATGTTAGCACAGTGCTAAGAAAGCCTTTCAAAACTTTGTGCATCTGAACTTTGATTTGAATCCACACCAAGATATGTTTACTCATCCCTTGACCCATTGCTGAACTCCCTCATGATTCACTGAGATCTGATGACTCACTTTTAAAATATCCTCAAAACTAACACAGACATGCAAAAAGGCTTGAAAATATGCTGTGACTGTGAGTTTCACTTTTGACTGTAAGACACACAAGGACTGGTATACAAATACATCAAAAGTAGAGTCCCATGATGAATTGAAGCCCTTGCTTTGCTCTTTTACTGTATATGAAGTGTAGGTTATCCTGGATAGAAGATGGTTATTTCATGATCTTCATTTGAAAAATTTTATTCATCAGAGAAAAAAGCAACTGTTAGGATTAATTTCACCTCTAAAAAAGTTTACCTCACTGTCCAGTCCCAGGAGGATAATCATAATGAAGAAGAATATTGCCCAGAGCTGAGGAAAAGGCATCATGGCTACCGCTCGAGGATAGGCAATGAACGCCAAGCCAGGACCTGCAGTGAGCATGGGATGGTCAAAAAATCAAAAAATCAAAAAATAATAAATTCATTAATTAACTCACTTATTCATTCTACTAAATATTTCTTTACATGTACTTACCTGACTCTGCTACTTTTGATATGTCTGTGTTTTGCTCATATGCCATGAATCCAAGTGCAGAGAAGATGGCAAAGCCAGCTACAAAACTGGTTCCACTGTTCAGAAGGCACAAGTACACACAGTCCCTACAAATAAAAAAGCAACATTATTTTTATTTTGTATTAAATGCATGACACATTTACAACTTTTCTTCCCATACTGACTTAAATTCTTTCGCATAACCAGCACAACCCATTATCATTAATATAACAAGGCTGGTTTTGTTTAGTTTTTTTGTTTGTTTGTTTTTTTTGTTTTTTTCTTGCCTAAAATGAAAAATTAAATGAAAATGAAATTTAGGAGGCCCAGATGTTCTGGAGAATATCTCATTGGTTGAGTTGTATGAAATTTTGTTTTGTATCATCGTTTTTCTTTTTTTTGTGTTGAGCTGTTGTGCATTTATTAATCAGTGGCTTACTTAAAGTGACGCCTGAGAAATAATTTTTTTTGTTTGTGTCTTTTGTAAAAATAGACATTATAACAAACTTACTTGTAGCAGTTATTGTTGTATTTATTATAACTGCCAAGTGCAGTTAGACATCCAATGCAAATAGCATAGGAATAAAATATTTGTGTGCCAGCATCCATCCACACCTGCAAGGAAAATAAAGGACATTTTCACATCTACAATAAATTACATATGAAAGGCATTTCCTGAGTGTTGCAACTGTGCAGTGAGTCTAGACAGAAAGAGCTAATGTTTTACACTTCTGACGATTTTTGTGACACAAGCAAACCAATCATCTATAAATATAGTTACACGTAAAAACGTGACACCGCTTTAAACCATGTATAAGTAATCCTTTCACTCTCCTGATCTTTGATTTTCCACTGAAAGTTCCACTTTTGTAGCCTAGTATAGGTAATATATACATCCTGTTTTGTACATAGTTGTTCCACACATTCAAGCCACATAATGCTTACACCGAATGCAACATTTAAACTCAATGTAGAAAGATGGAATTATTAAAATGTCATGTGCATTACTTTCTGCACGTTTCTGTATAATTCAGCTTTACATCTGCGGAAACCACTGTAGATTAAGTAATATGTATCATCAAAACAGACAAGTAGTGAAATCTGTTCACACCTGTGGATCAGTGAGGCGGGATGGATCTGGGTAGAGGTAGAACTTGATCCCATCTAAGGCCCCTGGCAACGTGAGTCCACGGACAAGCAACACTGCCAACATCACATATGGAAACGTAGCAGTAAAGTAAACTACCTGTGGAAGAGCCAGAGGGAAGGTTAATCTGTGGCTGTGTTGCCAGGATAGATTTTATGTGCTCCGTGCATGCTCGAGAACCACTGATATTCAGCATGGGTAAATCACACTGGGATATTCTGACATGACCTAAACGCATTCTAACAATCAACACTTACACTTTATTCTGTAGATAAGTCTGAGAAGGTATAGGAAACATGGTGCACCACCCAGAAGGTACTGTGGAAGGCTGTGTTTTACGAGTATTTTGAGATAAATACAAATGGCAACATGCTAACATGCTAACAATGACAATGCTAAGATGCAGGTGTTAAAATATATGCCATTTGAAGCACCTCATCAACATGTTAACATTTGCTAATTAGCACAAAACACAAAGTACACAGGTTGAGAGGATTTGCAGGTATTTGGTAACCTAAAGTCGTGGACAACTGAACATTTAAAGAGGTGTTGTATCTTGCAAAGTCACATGATTGCAGAGTTTTTAAAGCGTAGAAGAGCTATTACTATCCCATTCCTACAGTATACACTATCTTTCAACAGTTGTAGTTGTGGTACAACACAAAAAAGGTGGTTTTCCTACCTTCCCTGTGGACTTTACTCCCTTCCAGACACAAAAGTAACAGATGATCCAGGACAACAGAAGACACAGAGCCAACTCCCATCGCATGCCACCTATCTCATGGACACTTCCTGTGACATTCAAAATTCTTCTCCTGCAAATCAAATTTCCAGTCATAATTCATAAATGTCACATCACTTTCAGAGTTCATACACAGACAGGGTTTAAGGTTTAAGGTATGAGTTTGGACTTTGTTTTTCGTACTCACTCCCAAAACTCTCTCACTGGTGATGTTGCGTTTTCCACCACAGTCCAGTTGTATAAATCAGTCCTTCGATCAAATCGATCGAACTCCACACAGGTCTCTGTTGCAAAGAAATACAGGATGTTTTTTTGAAAAAAAAAAAAAAAAGGCATTCAAGGACACAAACACACAATCAAATTTTTCATTTGTCAAAGCCTTCAACCCTTTAGTAACATTTTCACACAAAGAGACACCTGTTGTACTCCTATCGTGATTCAATACTGGTGATTTAAATCACCCTTCACCCAAAAATGTGCTTATTATTTGTTACACCCCCTTCACAGTGCAGAATGACATATATGTGCACACAGATGTGACAAGGAAACTTGAACCTTTCAGCACACATACACTGAAGATTGACTTTTCAGTGGAGGCATCTTGTATCCTGCAGTTAAACTTCTGAACGGGACAATATTTGCATTTTGATATAGATTTTGGAGGAGACAATGTCATTTTAAGAATTTTAACTATGTAACTGAACTTTTAGTGGAAAAAACAGCATTTTTACATGTTTGGATGGGATCTTTAAGTATGTTATGTAGCATGAACACACGCCAGCAGAGCAAACCTTGCAAGTCACGACTTAAAATATTTCCAGCTCGGCTTGTCATTTCATGACTCACTGAAAATGAATGAATCAGAGAGTATTGTGATGATTCCTCTTTGTCAAAATGCAACGAGTTATTGTTTCAATAAAGATTCATAATAATCCACTTATTTGTTTCCATGTCTGTGTGTTCAGTCAGATCTCACACTGGGACATACCTGTGTTCCAGCTGTTTCGGCAACTCGCCCAGGGAAGTTCAGAGTTAAAAGAGGAGAAGAGATACAGGAAAGCCCAAGCCAGTATGATGATGTAATAGATGCTGGAGTATAGAACAACCACCTGACTGCCATAACCCATCCCTGAAAAAAAAACAAAAAAAACTTTCAATTAAAACAGCATCATTTGGAAGCAACAACTATGTATATCTTGCCAATACTGTCTCCTCCATGCTATTGTGAAGCCTTGTTATTCAGCGATAAATTAGTGATAAATTACACGTAAACAATATGTAAAGTGATAAATCACTGAGTTCATTTTAGATTTATTGTACAAATATAAATATTATTCAAAGGTAATAGGAAAGTATTTTTAATATCATTGAAAATCCATAAATGTTAAATAGTGATTTTTATTCTTTGGCGTTATTCAGACTGGCAGCTAACAGAACAGTGTTATTACAGAGTAAATGCATTGTAGAAAACCATTTTTCTACCGTTGTATTTGTTGCACATTTACAGACCAGCCTCCCTCCTGCCAAAAGCAAAGATTGCCATTACAAACGAGACATCAGTGAAATACACTGATGTCTCGACGTGCCAGTTACTCATTCTGAAATTATAGCTGACACAGTGTCAACATTATTTGAACCACACATTTAAAGATGTTGGCTGAAATCTGGGTAATATTAAATGAACAAAAGCTTTTTAAGTGTTGCAGCCGAATGAGAATAAAATGTATAACTTGATACTGTAGCCTTCTGAACATAATTCATCTGTGTCTGCAAGCTGCTGGCAGTGATGTAATGCAGTTTGTAGACATTGTAATTTGATGTTGTATGTTCAAGTGCAGGCTTAGAGAGAACTCGAGCCCTGTTTACACACAGATGCAGGTAGCCAGTAGGTTAGGGATGCAGTGTAGGATGCAGTCAGCCAGTCTCTCTCTCTATCTCCTGGCCTCCACCCTGTTTGGTTTTGTTGTGTTTTGTTTGTCTTTACATTTATTTCCTTTTTAGTTGTGTAAAATGAACTTATTTTTAGTTATAACTCATGTGCGGTCTTCCCTCCTTTGTCAAGCCTTGAGCTGAGTTGAGTCATATTTGGTAGAGATCTTTGATAACCAGCTCAGCTTGAACAAGCATGTAAACACAGTTGTCCAGTCTTGTTTCTTGCAGCTCAGGAGACTATACAGGATCATTCCAATTTTATCCAATAAGAATCTAGAGACTGTCATACATGCTTTTATTCCTCTCGTTTGGACTTTCTCTGACTGACATGATCACGTCATCAGTTTTTCGCTTAGATATGTTCACTGTCTCCAGTGATCCTCCTGTCTATGGACGAATGGGCAGGACTTCACGACTTCTTCAAAGGTTGGGAGTTGCCACCACTACTCTGGTCTAGATGGTTTATGATGCTCGCAAATATTAATTAATTGCACTTAAGTGCTCATGGTTTCTGCAAAATGAACTGAAGATTTACGAGGCATAGCATGTCCATAGAACAATTACACATTCTTAAAAAGTTCTATACAAAAACTTTGTACATTCATAAATGAATTACTGGCGACCAGGTGGGTTTTAAGATATTGCATTCCGTCATGCTGCCCCATGACTTCTTTGTTAGCTAAATCCTGTTAAATGTTTCATGCTTTATCACCAATGACTAATTTCAAACTCATAATCTCTATATCATGATGTTGGATACTCCTCCTTACAGCCACAAAGATATAATCATCTCATGATATTCGTTGATAAAACTCTACTCAGCTTCCAAACTACCTCACATCTCTTTTAACATTTAAATCTAGTACACCACAGCACACGCGCAAACAACTATACCTTAGATATTATATAATCTTAGGTACCCACGAGCCTTGGCAAAACTACTTTTAGATACTGTGTAACTTTTACCCCCTTGAGATTTTAAAACTTTATTACCTGATGTTTTTTCACATGGATACATCTAGACATTTACCTTCAAACAGGGGACAAATTTTCCTCCAGCAGGTAATGCTTCCCTGTTTGGTGTACTGGCCAAGAGATGTCTCCAGCAGAAACAGGGGGATGCCGCAGGTAAAAAGAAAGAGTATGTAAGGGATGAAGAACACCCCTGTGGAAAATGGGAAAATACACCAGATTAACTTGTTTGTTAGGTGGAACACTTTAAGTAACCTGTAGGAATCGCATCGATAAAGGTGGAGCCCGAGACACCTCAGTTATTAGTAAAAGGCTAACCCTACATCTAATCTTCAATTTACAACATCAATTAACATGGGAATGTTTTAGCATGCTTTTAGCATTTCTGCTCTGCTTTGTTGTGTTCAACTTGTAGTGTTCTTGTGATTGCAGTGTGCTTATTTATGACAGAGTATGTTTTGCAGCATTTTTTTGTAAATGGGCAACAGTACATGTCGTCAAAATGGCAGAAATGTTTTCTTCATTTACTTGTGTTTTGTCAATTTGCTTATCGGTTCATAAATTACAGTTCACTGAGCTCTCTACTGTACAACAACTTCAAAGCCTGGATATTAAAGTTCCTCTCCAGACATGTTTTAGACAATGTAAAAATACTCTGCTATGATTAGCTAACAGTGCTAGGGGGCTGTTAGCACATGATCCCCATTGAG